CTAACAATAAACATAAAAAGTCGCATAAAGTGGCATAACAAGCAATCGTGACATCCTCTAAATGGCATAATTTGGCCAGGAAATATTTTTACGGTTAACGTTTTTATGACCAACGGTTTTTGAAATTTCCATTTTTTACCCCTAACTATTAAAATTTTAGGCTGTGGAGCTACTTGTTAACCCCATTGAAACCCTCTAAAACTGTATTTCTTCCGAATGTTATGTTCAATTTGATCGTTAGTAAATTAAAGGCGTGTATTTGGAAAAGCTATGAATCAGACTTGACTTGATCGATATGACGGATTTTTTGAAACGAGAGCTTTCACTTTCGGCTTCATGCACCGCCATAAATCTTCAAAGGCCGCCTTGAAATAGGCCTGAACTTTGCCATTAAGAAAATCTTGCGATGGGGTAGTAGCTATCACTAACGAATCATCAATAAGTTGTCGCATATCTTTAGTTCCCCGAAACACGGCACTCCAACACCGAAACACCAACACTTGCAAAGCCTGCGAAACCGCTGCATAAACAGAACACTTGTTATCGAGGAAGTCACAGGTTTTTGTAACAAATGTCCAAAATTGAAATTTGGCTGATGGCAGGTATTGATCAAGACAATGCTGAGGGTGAGATTGATCATATGCTACCACTGAAAGAATCGCCACCTTGTACGACAGTTCAGGATTATAAGACATCACGCGCCTTTCATTATCATCGTTCGTAACCATTTCTTCCACAATCGCCTTTGATGAGGATAAGATAAGAGAAGATAAAGACAAGAGCAAGTCCAATATGACTATTGACACGAACATTTAAATCATCCATTTTTGTCAATGAATCTTGTTCCCTCCTATGCCGATTCAGTCCTCGCTAGGATCTTAGGCAAGTAACTCTTGGAATGTCTCCGATACTTCTGTGCTTTAAAATTTTAATTATGTGCAGTCTTAACTGTCATATTGAGTAACTGAGTAATTGTTTATTCGTGATGCTTTTCTTTAAAGAAGAAAAAAAGACAAAAAAGGAGAGGATAGTGACGATATAACACAGTACCACAGACCCCCCAAATAGCCAAATTTTCCAACATCAGTTTGTGCAATCTAACCTTACATTGTTAAGAAATCGTTTATTCATGATCCTGTTCTAAAAAAAGAAGATGAAAAATAAATAAGTAAAACGGAGAGGGAGAAAAATAAACGCTTCATCAATTTCGCTAAATAAAATAACAGAACTGAACAGGGCCAGTTATATATTTAGGGGAGAATGGTTTACTGATGATATCACTTTTAAAAAAATGGCCCAGTTTCATAGCAGTTAACTTCCTCAATACACTCGATTGATACAAACCATAAACAATAAAAGCAACAGGACTTAAGATTATAATTTGTTACCATTGTAAGTTTAAAGTGGCGCTTGTGCGGATGCATTCCAAGAAGCTTTCTATGCTCATGTTTACTCAAAAGTCTTTTTGAAGAACGTGGCCATATATACTGCCAACATAGTCATTGTTTTATATGGTCATCGAAAAAAAACACTCAGATAAGCCTTACAGCAGGTTAAAGCTGATCTTGGTAAATCCCAATTAAACCACATTGGAAAACATAGGTAGTTATAAAGTGCATGGGCTATTTTAAAGTGTCCGTCATTCCTGCCATTATATAAAGGGGTCAAAGAACCACCTCTGCGACGGCAACAGAACATTAAACAAAAGTGGAATGGTCAATAATAAAGGCTGGTTTTCATTAGCGACGGAGTCGGATAAGAGTCATAATCAGAAGCGTAGAACTTTTAACGATCTAGTGAAAACAGCGTTCTGATTCCGCTTACGACTCCATCGCTTACGATCAAGTGAAAACTAGGTTGTCGGAGTCGCAAGCAGAAGCACAAGAACTAAAAAAATCACAAAGCTTGGGACCGTGCATTGTGATTGGTTTATCCTACCGCTTCTGCTTCCAACTCCGACAACTATGCAGTTACTCTGGCTAACAGAGGCTTTTTTCTTGCGTGCGACGAGGAACTTCGTCGGCAGCAGGCCGACATGTCTTCGGCTTTCGGCCGAAGACACGAGCGACAAAGCCGCGATCAAAAAACCCGCTTTTTCCGCGGGTCACTTTTCAAAAATTGACCGAAGATAGAAACTGCACATGAAAGCCTGCATGAAAAGCCTGACTCCGGAAATCAAAGACTTCCTCTAGCACTGAAGCCTCTGAGTCCGTGCTACTTCCAGTTTCTCTACGTACAGTTCAGGTTACAGGAAGTTAAGCAGTAAATTAAAGAGAAGTGACCTTTTTTGAGCTTCATCTTCATTAGTCTCCAAAGACTGGCATTAACGACGCTTTCGGTTCTTGCTCTTTTCCATTGCCTTGTTAAACCGTTACTCGAGGAACAGCACAGACATGACATCTCAGGGGTGCGAAAAGAAACAGGCGGACGAGGACAGAAAACTAGACAGACTACTTTCCACGTCAAGTTTGCTTTTGTCCATTCTTTTTTGTATCGCAATATTTCACATGGAACTCAGAATACAAGAACATCGTCGATTGATATCACATTCCAGCACTGGAACATTACGAGACGAAATGGAAACAGAAATCCTTCAAAAAGTTCAACAGGAGTGTGGAAGTTGGCGAGAAACCAAAGAGATCCATTTAAAAGGTGATTGGCAGTCAACAACGTTCTGTTACGTGTTATGTTCTCTACATTTGTTTGCCATGCGGTAAAGATTCTCTTCAGTTAGTGGGGCTATATCTGCACAGTTTAATTTCTGTTCTAATTGTATTAGCTATCCTGAAAGGCAGCAGAAATATCTCAGCATTGTTTATCGCGTCGGAGGCTTGACGGTTTATGATTACAATTTTTTTTACTGGCATTACCACCCCTTAGGCAAAAAGTACATTCAGTCCAGATCTCTAATATAATTCTTCTGAAAAATTCTGTTTTGAAAGTAAGCGAACAAAATAAAAACAATAATAGATGACACTGTAATCCTCTCCCTTGATAACCAAACTCGACCAATATATAGTACGTTAGTTGACTTGTAATCCTCTACAATTATTATTCTCGTGACAATTATTAAATACGTTCTTTTTTATTGTACTTGGCCAACACTATTCGTTTTGCCTCTGATAATCGCGTAGGTAACGGGTTCGTATTTACCCTTAGATAGCTTCAATGTTTACATAATTTAATTGACTTTTTAAACTTATCTTCAAGGGCAGAGAAATGCAGTTTCAAGACAAAGGCGGGCATCAGGGAGCAGCGCACAAAATAATTCGACTCAAGGAGTGGCTGAACTAAAACTTCTTATTAAAGAAGAACTTCGTTTGCAACAAAATCAAATTTGTGCTAAAGATGAAACGCTCTGCCGCCCTGGACCAAACGGTAGCAGGGGACGACGGGAAGACCTGGAACCCAAGGGATACCAGGTCCCCCAGGGAAACCCGGTCCAAGGGGACCTCCTGGTAAACATTGACCAGCAGGACTCCAAGGACCAATGGGCACGAAAGGAGATCTCGGAGTTCCGGGTGTCCCTGGTCCCACGGGACCTAGAGGCCCGCCAGGTGAGAAAGGCGAAAGAGGTGAGCCGGGCCAGTCCATCTCGGCTCCATCTCTGCTGCAGCGTCCTGTTGAAACCACAGTCAATGAAAGTCAGACAGCCATCTTAAAATGCACAACGGACGGTAATCAAGCTCCACTTCTCACGTGGTCTAAGGTGAATTCATCGCTTCCTGAGGGACGTCACGAGGTAGAGTCCAGTGGTGCTCTGATTTTAAAGAACGTTATTTCTGGCGACGAGGGCTTGTACAACTGTCGAGCTGGGAATTTGCCGGGAAGCGTCAACCATTCAGCAAAAATGATTGTTCAGTGTGAGCAGCTTAATCTGATTTGTCATTATTATTAGTTTGCGAGCACGTGATAAGGCAGTCAGTTGACGAAGCAAAACCATTTTTTTTGTTTTCGCAGAATTTGCATGAAAAAAGAGTTTAGTTCCCAGCGGAGGAAAACACTTTTGAGTTTCCTTATTGTCAACCAACATGGTCGCCGTGACGTGAGCTTCAAACCAGCAATTTTAAACATTTAGGCTTTTCCTTTGGTAGAAATTAAATTAATCTGAAGTGGGTATCGGGTAGTTCAAATTTGTTTAAAGGTACAAAAATGTTTCATCTAGCTGGAGCGCTCAAGAGCTGAATATCTAGAATTTGTGTAGTATTTACCAGTGGCCTGGGTTTTGAGTCTGAATGTAGTCTGTCAAAATCCAATTTTAGTTTTATCGTGCTGGAACAGCACCAATCAATGAGGCATAGCAGTTATATTTTCTTCAAAATTTCAAGTACACCACAGCTTTGATTTTAAGAATTGATTTTTCCTCGGAAAAGCTTTCTTTACTTTTTTTACGATTACTTTTTGTTTGTCTCTCTGGGAAACTGGCCACCCATACCTCCCCTAACCCATCATTTTGCCCAAGGTAAAAATTAAGTGTCAATGTTAGCTTAGGGGAGGGGTAGGTGGGCAGTTTCCCAATTGATCCGTCTTTTCTTTATTTTTATCCGGTTCATCCTCAATTACGTTTGTCATCTAGCCGACTAATGGCGGAAGAGGGGCAAAATGTGACAATCTTCTGCAATGCTTCTGGTCAACCACAACCCAAGGCCACGTGGTCAAAGGCCGTTGGGAGTTTGACGACAGAAAGAACCTCCGTGGTAAAAGGAGCTTTGACAATCTGCAAAGTGACGAAGAGCGACGGTGGAACATATGTGTGCAGAGCACAAAATATTCTGGGGTCAGTATCTGTCGCGGCTCAACTAATGATATTCTCCCGTTACGCGTTAGTATCCGTCTTCCTCAAGAGGTGACTCCCTTTTTTGGATCAACTCTACGTCTACCGTGTGAAGCAGAGAGTGACCTGAGACCGACAATTACCTGGAAAAGGGATGGCAAGTCTTCACTTCCATTAGGAAATCGCACCAAGGATTTTACCCCTGTAAAGCGACTAATGCTGTGAAAACAATAGAGCTAAAGTCAAAATCAATTCCCAGGTTACAGCTTCTTCCTGTTCTGAGATAACAAAATACGTTAGCAGTGTAAGCGGAAATTATCTCATTGGTCCTGATGGTAAGGGAGGCCTGGCTCCATTTTCTGTTTATTGCGACATGAAAGAAAAGAATGGAATCGGCGTGACAGTCATCAGTCACGACAGTGAGAGCAGGACGTATGTGCCTAGACAGAACCGTCTTCGTGATATTCACTATATAGGAGCGAGTCTGTCTCAGTTGGCCAGTCTCACCAGTTTCTCCTCACACTGTGAGCAGTTTATTAAGTACGAGTGTTATGACTCGGGTTTATACCTTCGCAATCCAACTTCATGGTGGGTGTCACGTGATTCTGCTAAGATGACCTACTGGGGGGGAGCATGGCCTGGTAGTGGCAAGTGCGCATGCGGGATGTCCAACTCATGCGCAGACTCCAGGTTTGGCTGTAACTGTGATAAGGATGACTATGTATGGCGTGAAGACAGCGGTTTGCTCACTGACAACACAACTCTTCCAGTAATACAGCTCTATATTGGTGATGTCGGTGGGCCCAAAGAAAAAGGCTACTACACTCTGGGAAAATTGAAGTGCTATGGCATAGCATGAACATGTTTTATCCTCAATTTTTTTTCACAGAATGATTGGAATAGGAAGTCACTTGATGTCAAGTATCTATGACATGTTGGTGCAAAAATATTATTTTAAGAGTTCTCAAATTTGTAACAGTAATTTGAAATTTCGTTATTACGACTGTACAGGGATAGCTGAACTCAAATCACAATAAAATAGTGATTGTAGGACTCCCAGGTAGTCCTTTATTCCATAACTATTAATTGACCCAAGAAACGGGTCTGTAATTAGCGAAATAGGTATGTCAGTTCATCGTTTCTAAAATGATGTTTTACTGGCCTGCATCTGCGTCGCAGAATTATTCGTACACTGATTTAAAACCTCTGGTCATAGACTACTTAAAGTGTGATCGGGGGGCCCGTTGTTTAGACTTTGTGTGATCCATCAATACGTCGGATCGATTATATTATTCAAGACCGAATATACCTTTCTATACATTCATCGGTGTTTTATTTTAATGTCAATTGATATTCCAGCCTTTTTGAAAGCATTTGCAAATTTCAAAATCCTGAATCCTAACCCCGAGATTAAGCCTAGTAGCCCCAAGGGGTACTTGGGTTAGTTTTTGCTGGGTATGTGCCGCTGGCCTCTCAGAGCTCCTACCCCATTATAGTCAATTCTGTGGCCAATTATAGATCCCATCTCAGTCACTTTTATGCAAATATGTAATTTTCACGATCCCAACTTAGTCACTTTCTATTGATGTATCTACCTTATATTGAATGAAGAACACTTTACTTTTCACCTACAGTACAAACACTCTGGTACGTTTGCTAATCATAAATCTGAATAACTATCTTACTCCAAAAATCAGGAAATGTGCAACCCCAATCTAGTAACTCTCTAGAAAATGCGATCCAATTATCAATTATAGTCAATACAGTCGTGAAAATGCGACCCCATCCAGCGGCACATCCCCATTAGCCTCTTATACGGAAGTATCCCCTCCCCGGGCAATTAGCCTAATATAAGAACAGAATAATCAAATGAATCCTGTCAGTCTTATCACCATTATTAAGTGCGAATTGTCACAGAAAAATAAAATAATAATAATAATGATTTAATCTGATAGAAATTGTTTAGTGAGGGTTGAATATTTAATCGGCGGAGCTAAACTGATAGAAAATGAGCCGCTATGGCGTTAATTGACTCTATTGTTGTAAGGTATATAAGGTTTTGAATCAAATTTTATTTTTATATCTTACTTTATTCATCTATCATTGATTTTTTACCTTTAACCCCCAGAGGTTGTGCGACCGCATCGGTTGGGGAATACGTTCCCAATTTTTTCCCATTGGGTTTTTTTGGGTTTTCGTATCAGGCGGCGCACGTGAATAGTTTAGCCTGAGTGACTTTATTTAGGAATATTTGTATACCATTCTTTAGTTATGATGTTGAACTTTGTATGTTATTTGGACGGCATTAAACACTCAGGCTCCATAGCTCGAGCTGCACACCCATTCCCGTCTCTTAGTCGTGAATATAAATAGGAAAATAGCCGTTACAATGTCTTATAAGAGAGTCTCAGAGAAATGAGATCACTTTTGAAAAAATTAAGGTGGTCTTTAATTACTACGTTGTCTGTGAGAGAAGACCGAGCGTGTTCGTCATTCTTTCCTCAGAGCCACATAAATGTACAAGCGGCGGGCGAAACATGCAAATTAAAGGCGCGAATTACCCTGCTCGCGATCTACCATGACTAAAAAGAAAAATAAGAGACCGCTCGTAGTCTAGTGTGACAGAGTTTAAATGCAGGATTTGACTTAGCCATCCACAGAGCTTAGCCTTAGAGCGCAGCAGAACGCCTTTCTCGGCTTTCCAGCCAGCCGGAGGGTGGGAGAGAGGGGTACTCAAGAACGGAGGGGGAGGGGGGGGGCGCTCCGTCCGGAGGTCCAACCTTACTCTTTTATTTGCCATTTTTGACTGAAAAGGTACCCTTTGGTATAATTTCTACCCTCACCCTGGATCCGCCACTGAACATTCTTTTCGAAATTGGAACGCCTTTTCTTGTAAAAAAGATTCTTTACAAAATTTTTCAAATGTCATGTTTAAGTAATTTTTATTTCGCGTAATGGATTCTGGTAAATTCAAGAAAGGTTGTTTACTGCGGCTGCATGATTTGTTCTCGCCGTGCGTTGTTCCTTAACATTCCTTGTGTACAGAATGCACACTAATGGCCTTTTCGCTGTAAAACATCTCCACACCGTTGTGATAGGGGCCGCATTTTATGGCTGGTAGGATCAAGAGCTGCAGATGAGGAACTATGTCGTCAAATTTAACAACGCTCCAACTGCTGTTGACTAACTTATCGTGGTGCAGAGCGTTTTTGTAGTCGCCAACTCGAGGATGTTTTCACGTGGAACGTCGTTGTAATAAGCAAGACAAGCACTCGCCAAGGACGCTAAGGCAGCACCAATAGAATGCCCTGTAACCTAGACTTGATGCGAGAGATTCTTTGAAACTAGAGCTTTCACTTTCGGCTCCATGAACTGCCATAAATCTTCAAAGGCCGTCTTGAAATAGGCCTGAACTTTGCCATTGAGAAAATCTTGCGATGTGGTAGTGACGGTCTCTAGTAATTCATCAATAAGTTGTCGCGCACCTTCAGTTCCGCGAAAGGCCACGATCAACACTCACAAAGCATGCGAAACTGCAACTTACAGTATAACCCGAGCAATTCTACCCGACAACCGACAAAATCGTCATTTTTTGTAAAAAGGTATTTTTCAAGGCAATGCTGAGGGTGAGAGTGATCATCTGTTACCATGGAAACAATCGCCATCTTGTACTGCAGTTCAGGATTACAAGACATCACGAATCCTCCATCCCACTGTAGGCCATATCATTCACAACCACCTTTGGTGAGGATAAGTTGTGAAAAAATGATTTGGAAAAAAGGCAAGTCCATTAAGACTATTGACATGAATATTAAAATCAAGCATTTTTCTCAATGAATTTTTTCGACCTCTCATAGACGGCGACGTACATGTAGTCCTCAATCTAAGCTGAGTCTCTTATACCTTGAATCTCTTTTACTAGCGTAGAGCGACGCCGATCACTATGTGGCCAACTACTTTGCTGTATCTTTCCTTTTTTATTTTTCTGAAAGTCTATGACAGTGAGTTTTCTCTGTTTCAGTACTGAGATCGGTTCTTCGCAGAGTTCAGTGAACGGATCACTAAGACTTTCATAAGTTTTACTAAAAAATCATGTTTTTTGGCATAATGTCGTTTTTCTCCTGATTTAATTTGACTTCATCCAAGGCCGGATAGTCTAGGTAGTCTCAGAGGATTAAGTCGTCCAACCACGATTCTCGATTTTTTTGTTTTCGTTTACAATAACAGAGCTATGGTCGATGAGAGTATCGAGTCTCAATGTAAACCATGGAAATGACGTAATGATGGCGCAGTTTAGTTTTCTCTCGAGTTCTCACAAGCGCGATTTTCCAAGAACCTTCACCGGAAATGGGCTTCAAAAACTGTCAATGTTTTTAGTATTTAAAAAAAAAATCGGCGGAAATTTTCCACCGTCTTAATACTCTTATCAACCATAGAAATGACTTCAAAAAGGTTGCAGTGAAACCACTCGCCTGCTGCTCCTGGTTCCACGTGAAACATTTTCACGTCATTTCGATGGACCTTAAAAATTGTCAACGATTTGTTTCTAAAAAAATCCATTTTCTACACATTTTCGTTTTCATAAGTGATGAGGAAAATAAAATTTAACAGTGACAAATGTTTCCACCTGTAAGCAAAGTTGTGATGACAAATTCCTAACCGTAGGAACGCACGAATTGACAAAAGGCCCGGGGCCAAGAGAAGAATGGGTATGCTTGGAATTGACTGCGCCATTAACAAAATACACTCTTTTTTCATAACAACGTCCATTTTCGAGTTGAGCCTTGATAGTTCTTATTTTCTGGGCAGTTTCAGCCTGGAAATGTTCTTACAGATGCTGCTTAAATTTCAATAACGGAAATCTGATAAATTTTTAAGCTACATATAGACATGATGAGACAATGATTACAGTTTTCAAATTAACGAAATGTACAAGTACAATGCAAATGTGTTATTGACCATACTCAATAGGTATGTTTTGAAAGAACAAAATTTTACGTGCACTCTGATTCCATGTAGGACATTATGTAATGCAGATTTTTTGGATGTAGGAAAGTAAAAGCAGTGGAAATATATTGTTCTTCTCTGCGCCTCGGGTATTGGTATGTCCTTAGCATGTTCTTAATATTTTGACAAATTTTAGGCTGAACGTTCTTATTCTTATAAAAGATTCTTATAAAAAATAGTGTAGACCTCTTTAGCTTGTATCTTCTTCCCCCATCATTTTCCACTTCTCCGTTGTCATTACGTAAAGATTGCAGCATATTGAACTTAAGTTGCACGGTAACTCTAGCTGCAAAAAGAGGACAAACGCCCAGAGACTCTTACTGTAAAATGTGGAAATTTGTTCTTATAGGGTGGCGTTTCCCAGCAGGAGATGTTTCGCATTCTTAAATGTTTACTATAAGTTTGTTGGTTTGTTGTGGTTTAAATTCCTGCTAAGTCTAACGATTCTAAGTTCCTGATAAGTTTAACAATTTTCGGTATACATACTAGTAAAACAGGACTGTCATTAACTTCTATTACTTCTGATGTTTCTTCTAAGAGACAAGGAATAAAACAGCTTTTGAGCGGTAAATGTCAAAGTGGGATTACTAGCACAGCCAAAGAGCTGAATGGAGTAAACGTTCCATGATTTATGCAGTCAGTACAAAAAAATCCAAAAACAAAACGCTAAACTATCATCAGAGATCGTTTCAAGATTCTGTTTCAATCCTAGCCTTTGTTTCAAACTTGGCCTTTTACTTGGCATTTTACTGACTGATTCACTGGAGCCGTAATTAATATTTTTTCAAGAAAGGTTTTTGTGGCCTTTTAATAAGAGCGAACTTTAATCCGCGGTAACAAAAAAGATGTGTTGCTCTGTGTTGATAGGAAGATGCTTAAAATTGGATAAGATGGTCACTGATAGAAGGTCACTTGGTTATAATTGCAACTCCCAAAACACAGAGATGAACTGCCTATTATAGTAAATTCTAATGAAAAACGAATATGTAAGTAAACCAAATGACATTGGCCAAGAGCTACGCCAACAATAGCAACAGCAAAAGGAATATTGATTTCTGGGACGAGTGGGAGTTTAATTAGTTTCCAGTCAAACATCCCACAAATTTTTAAATGACAGTGAATAAGTGTAAAGGTTAAGATTTTGTTGTTCCTACTGTAAAGTACTCAATTTCTATTTTTTGTAACTAAACGTTTCCAGATGCTTGACACTGAATAGATATAATAGCCAAGATTTCCTTTGGCAATGATAAAAGCCAACTAAAGATGCATTCCACAGTATCACTTACACCATTGAGGGTTACAGGTAAGTTCATGTATATAGTGAGGAGACAATCGCTTTATCCCTAGCCTTCTTAGCCGTCCCTTTAGACTAGCTCATAATAAACGCTCTCGTTCCTAAGGCTATTTCATTCTCTTCAATTAAGTCTTGTCCCAAGGACAGCATTGGGCCGTTGACCATGCGACATCAGAGTAGAGAAGAAAAGCAGACGAATGAAGGAAGAAAACTAGACAGATTGCTTTCCACGTCAGGCTTGTTGCTGTCTGTGGCATGTTGTATCGCAATAATTCACGTGGAACTCAGATTACGAGAACATTATCGATTGATATCACACTGTGGAACATTCTTCATTGAAATGGAGGCAGAAATCCGTCGAAAAGTTCAGGAGAACTCAGAGAACGGAAGATGGCAAGTAGGCAGAAACAGCCATTTGGAAGGTGAGGCTAAATGAAGTAACATTCATTTAGGAATTCGAAATAGCGGTATTTTACTACTCTCCGCCTCTAATCGCAATACTCGCCATCGCTCGGAAGTCTTAGTTCATGATTGCTAATTAAGGTTCTTTTTCGTAAATGTATTTGTTTGATTGTCACCTTGCAGGAGAGAAGTACAGTCAATTTCCGATAATGCTCATCGGATGCGCTTAAACAATTTGTATTATTAGAGGACAAAGATATTAGTGTGCATTTACTCTACATTCGCAGGCATCTGTAGACTGTACTATTTTCGGAAACTTGTACTTCTTATGGGGCTATTAATTATGAAAGAACTCTGTTTATACCATAATCATTTTTAAAACTGACTTCTTGAATTTATGTTCAAGGACTGAGAGATGCAAGTTCAAGAAATAAACGGGGATCAGAGAACATCTCACAAAGTATATCGGCACAAATATCTAGTGAAGTAAAACTGGTGATCAAAGAAGAGCTTCGTCTGCTGCAAAATCAAATCTGCGCTAAAAATGAAAAGCTCTGCCGCTCAGGACCAAAAGGGAGCAGAGGACGACGGGGAAAACCAGGAACCCGAGGGAGACCGGGTGCACGGGGAGCTCCAGGACCAATGGGTATAAAAGGCGATCTTGGAATTCCGGGAGATCCTGGTCCCGCGGGACGTAGAGGCCCGCCAGGTGAGAAAGGCGAAAAAGGTGAACCGGGTCTGTCCGTCTCGGCTCCAGTTCTTCTGGAGCGTCCTGTTGAATCAACAGTCAATGAAAGTCAGATAGTCGTCTTAACATGTACAGCGGACGGTTACCCAACTCCACAAGTCACATGGTCAAAGATGAATTCATCGCTTCCTGTGGGACGTCACATGGTAGAGTCTAGTGGTGCTCTGGTTGTGACGGACGTTAGACCTGGAGACGAGGGTGTTTACAGCTGCAGAGCTGAGAATTTGCTTGGGAGCGTCAACTCTACAGCGAATCTCACAGTTCAGTGTAAGTTAAGTTATACTTTGAGTAGGACTTTAGAATTTTTCTTTCAGCAAACGGGGACTAAGTTTAATCATACAGAAAAGATTTTTAAGTGAGCAAAACGTGACTGTACTGATAATGGTATCTGCATGCACCCCCCACCCCTTGGGCGGGACTCCCATAGAAAAGTGACGGGTATGCTCGTCGGAAAATTAGATTGAACTCCTAGGGAAGACCAATGTGGGTGTGGCTCAAGATTAAACTGACCCTTAAGGGAGACCATACTAAAACAGACATCACAGCATTTTTTGTCAGCGATACTTGAATAGAGAATTTCCCTCCCAAACACCCTAATTGAGATCAAAATCTGCAATTTACAACCCTAAGCGAGACGATGAGGATCCCCGTCACTTTTATATGGGACTCATGCCACTTAACGGCATGACTACCTAAATGTGCATATTTTGATAAAATGCTACTTAGAACGGTTTCCTTCTATCAATAATCCTGAAAATGGGACTACATTTAATGTAGCTTAGTGGCCTTAGCAATGTGAGACATGTTAGAAGCTCAAATTTTTGTCACGTGACTTATAACTGAGAATTAACGGTCAAAATGTTTACTCTAACATGGGGAAAGGATAATGGTAGAGCAACAAGTTTTTTTAGGTTCTGAAAAATTCGTCTTGTATATGTGTTTACGATATATAGGAATCGGTAAATAAAGAGGAAAGGGTCACGTGAGTTGTTAATTAGTTAAATAGCTAATAGGATAAATAACATTTCCAATCATACAAGGCGAATTTACAATTTACACTGTTTATGTAACATTTTGGTGGTGAAAATTCCCGTTTGGGAAAACGTGTTTTGTGACGTCATTGACGAAGCAATGTCACGTGTTATTTGAAACTAAGTTTTACGTGTTTTTTTCGTTGAGCCACATTTGTAGCTCACTTTTTAGGATCAGTGATAGAAGCAAACCGATTAAAATGGCATTTTACACAATATAAATATTTAATTAGGTAGTCAAGCCTTAAGTGCTGAGGAGTCGCCTCCCCGGGCCGCAAGCATTTTTTGTCGCAAAACAGTAGGTTGTCCTAGTTAGAAATGTAAGCCGTGAGCGTTAGCACAGTGTTTTCATAGTCAAAATATTCTGATTTGCCAGAACCGATTTTAAATCGAGATATGGTATCGAATAATAACATAAAGACAACTCAGTGAAATTTTAAAAAAAACCTTTCGATGGTTAAACACAAAAACGACTCAAGGTAGGCTGTTTTTACAATTATGTTGAGGCCCGACCAATGGAAGTCAAATCAAAGCTATCGAAGAAAGGTATCTCTCATAGCATTTGCTTATTCGTATTTTTTTCCACGTAATGTTTCCTCAGCGTCGTTTGTTCTGCACTGGATAAAAGGAGGGTTTCGTTTTTAATCCTTGCAGATGGCCCTCAACTTGATTTGGCATCCAATCGATTGATGGCCGAAGAGAAACAAAACGTCACAATGGCCTGTACTGCTACTGGTAAGCCGCAACCCAAGATCACATGGTCCAGAGCGGCGGATGAACTACCTTCAGAAAGAACTGTTATGAGAGACGGAGCACTGATAATCTCCAATGTATCGAGAAAAGACGGAGGCCTATACATTTGCGAGGCAGAGAATATTTTGGGATCAGCTTTAGGTACAGCTCTACTTATGGTATTTTCTCCTCTGCGCTTCAAGTTCCGCCCCCCTGAAGAGGTGACTCCATTTATTGGCTCCAGTCTCCATCTATCCTGTGTAGCCGTGAGTGACCTAAGACCGAGAATAACTTGGACAAGGGATGGAGTGTCCTCACTTCCAGGGGAATCTTTTGTTCTACAGAATGGAACACTTGTAATTCAAAACATTAAAAAATCACACCAAGGATTTTACACCTGTAGAGCGACTAATGCTGTGAAAACAATAAAAGCTAAAGTCAAAATCAATTCTCCATTTATACCACCTGCCTCCTGTTCTATGATAAGAAAACGTGTTAGAAGTGTGAGCGGAAATTATGTCATTGATCCTGATGGCCAGGGTGGTCTGGCACCGTTTTCTGTTTATTGTGACATGACTGACAAGAATGGAATTGGCGTGACAGTCATCAGTCACGACTGTGAGAACAGGACATACGCGACTCAAGGAATATCGTGTAACGTTCACTACACGGGAGCGAGTTTGCCTCAGTTGGCTAGTCTCACCAGAGTCTCCTCACACTGTCAACAGTTTATCAAGTATGAGTGCTATCATTCGGTTATGTGGTTACACGCGCCATACACCAGGTGGGTGTCTCGTGATTCTAAAAAGATGAAGTACTGGGGTGGAGCATCACCTGGCAGTGGTAAGTGCGCATGTGGGATGACCAACTCATGCGCAGATTCCAGCCTTGGCTGTAATTGTGATAAGAATGACCATGCATGGCGAGAAGACAGCGGTTTGCTTACTGACAAGACGACGCTGCCTGTAAAACAACTCTTTTTCGCTGATCTCGGTGGGTTCGAAAAAGGCTACCACACTCTAGGAAAATTTAGGTGCTATGGCACTGCGTGAACATATTTATAATTACTGGTGGCTGTAATGAAATGGTGACGAGTAAAATCAGGGAATAATTTCACTTGCGTTTTGTCCAAATTCTAAAGACGAGTGAAATTATTAGGATTTGGACAAAACGCAAGAGAAACTATTCCCTAATTTCACTGGTAAACCATATTTATATCCTGGGTGACAAAAAGGAAATTACGTTCACAATCAGGGGTTTTTGACAAGTTTATCGAAACGATCGGGAACTCCACACACTGAAAAGTTTAGAGCTTAAATTTTGGCTTTAGTTCATAATGCTCATAATGTTTCGACAAAATACCTGGTAGAATCCTTCATGATGTGCTCTTTATTTGTGTGTTTGTGTTTTCTAAATTAAGGAGTCTTTTAATGCCCTGACATCTTCATTCATAAAATTTTAAAACCTTGACGCCATCTTGGCACTGAGACGTACGGAACGTTGCAATGGTAATTTTGTGATTTCACATGTAAAATGATAAATTAATGCTGAAATTTAGTGCCAAAATTAAGGAGTAATTCGTCACCAATGACATTATATCTTAATGATTTGAGTAAGAAATCACGTGGCATCAAGTATATATGACATATGGGTACACAAGAACGTATTGTTATAAAAGTTCTTAAAATTCCAACATTACTAATTTGATATTTAGCATCATTAGGTGTGCAGTGTTAGAACAGCTGAACTTAAGTTGTTTTTTTAATACTGATTTTAATACTATAGTGCCTGTAATCATACACTAATCAAGGTGTGATCGGGGATCGATTGCCCGTTTCATCAATGAGGCGGATTGATCTTATAATTTTAAGACTGAATAGACCTTTAGATACCAGTGACACCACGCCCATATTTGACATCCAAGCCTTGTTAGCATTTGCAAATTTTAAAAGAATTTTAACTCCAAGATTACGCCTGGAGGTCAATTAACATAAAGTAATAGGATAATGTAAATCAGATGGTCTGTTAGAATCTGGCCAGTCTTATACCATTATTAATTTGGAATTGTAACAGAAATATAAATAAGAACAAATTAGAAAGAATGTTTACTGACGGGTGAGTAACCGTTACAACATTTTATAAGAGAGTTTAAGCTAGAGTTGAAAGGAGAACACTTCGAAAACATTTTGGTGGTCCTTAATTACGAGGTTGCCTTCTCCCCTGCAGAGGCTCTTGCAGGGTGTCCCAATAAAAATAGCAATAACTGAAAAATAGAAAGCGCACGGGGGACGATGGGAAGAGGGAAAAGACCTCTCTTCTCTCTTTCCCTTTCCCATTGTGCCCTGCGCGCTCTCTCTTTTTTTCTCCCCAGCCTCTCTACAACACAAAGAGGCCTCTGCGGAGGAGAGAGACTAAGTTGTTTGTGATAGAGGCAAAATACAGGATTTGACTTAGCCAGTGATAATCTTACCCCTTGAGGCCTAGGCCAAACGTCGGACTTTTCATGAGATGAACCAAACTCTCTTTTGTGTCGTCTTAAATTAAGTGAAGATCGTTTGTTGCTTGAGACGTAGGACTTAGGACGAGTCGAACCAATCAACTGAACCAGATCAGAAATAAATTGTATCCTGAACTAGGCTAAATATACATTATTGATACAAATTTTTAAGTTATTAGTTTAGTTCGTCGCATGTGTAGATCGACGTTTGTCCCGGAGACGATCTTCAGACGCACGTTGTATCCGTCAGAAGCGGAACGGAACGGATAGAACGTGTTGGACGATCCAAACTCGTTCAGACGAAATTAACTGAGCCAGACGTCGCACTTTTCATGAACTTGACTCACTAAGCTCGGTTCGTCTCATGAAAAGTTCGACTTTTGGCCTTGGCCTGAGTGCAGTAGGACGTCTTCCTCGGCTTTCCACCCACCGAAACAAAAAACAGAGAGAAGGCGACTGCCCTCAAAGGCTAAATTTTGAGAGATTTTCGAAATATGATTTTCCAGCTGTATGATGATCAAACATACAGTAACGTCGAGACTTAATTGAGGTTTAGTACTAACAGTTTTTATAGCATCGACCAATATCTGGTGATAGACCATTCATTTTGAATCTGATGATGACTTCCGCACAGGTTGTCCAAACGCAAGTCACCATTACCAACAGTTGTTTGAAAGATTATACTCACTGTATTTAAATCTTTGCCTTAGTTCACTTGAACTACCGTCCGCCATCCAATCATAGTGAACCTACCCAACAGGGATAGGAACTGAAAAGACTGCAAACCTTGTGTGACAAGCGTGACGATAATTGTGTTTTAAAAAAACTTTCCGCCAAACTTCGCCTTTTTTTAAACAGATCTTTTTGTAAAAGACCAGTAAACATTAATGTTAAGTGAAGATCACGACAAAACAAGCAAGTAATGGCCCTGTCACGTTTGTCACACACAAGCGTTTTGCCGTCTTCTTCTTTCTGCCGTCCTGTTGCGTAAACTCACTAATAGCGAGTTTAAGATCTCAAGGAGGCGACGGCAATGAAAACCTCAAAAGGCAATATAGGCTTAGATTAGCCTGCGAATACCGCCACCTCTCCTTGCTCTTCGCCGCTGGGAACGTTTTGCAGTATAGAGGTTTGCGCCTCAATGAGAGAAAATCCAGACTGATGACGTAAAATCTGTCCGGATGGAATCTGGTCAGCAACTCCTAACAAGACCCAACAACATGCAACAGGGTGCGCAAACGGACGCAACATGTAACATCCAACAATGTTTTGAGTGTTGGCCAACAATGTTGCGTCCGTTTGTACGGGACTTTACGAATGACAGACAAAAGCTCACAAAGATCAAACGTAAACCGTTTAATCTACTACAAAACAATTATTGTTCGTAGAATATACTCTTTTAGAAATAGCATTTGGGTTTTGCTACAGCTTGTTCGCAGAAGAACTCAAACCTTTACATCATAATAGACCAGGAGAAACATAATCTCGAACGAATTTACATTCGGAATCTCATGACTACCAGGTTAACATTGATTTACGTCATTAGAATGGAATCTCTGTCGTTGAAGCGCAGACGTCTCTCCTGCGAAACGTCCCTCGCGGCGAGAAGCGAGGAGAGACAGCCATATTCGCAGGCTGGGCTTAGGGCCTGTTTGTATGAGGTGAGCCAAATATCTCGACAAGCCAGCCAGCCCGCCTTCTTATATAAACACAGCGACAATTTTATGAGGAAACAAGGCATTACCGAGCTTGGTCATCTCCTATGAACAAAATAACAACTTTGCACGAGCAGCACACTTTTTGGTACATTTCTTAGCCTTCACTGCACGACTACGACGTGAAAGAGCCTAATTTCACGTTTTATCGACAACGTGAACAAACGGCGACGAATTTCTCCAGGAGGGTTCGCCTACGTTAGACAAAGTTGGCGAGTTTGGATAATTGCTCTGAAGTTTCAAATAATTTGTAAGTGATATTTTCGCTGCTGTCGCTGTCGTGGTAAGGCTTAAACTGACTCCCTACCCACATTAAAAAACAAACAAACAAACAAACAACAACAACAAAAAACCACACACACACACACACACACAACGAAGCATATTATAATAGAACTGTGGTCTTTGACATCACGCAAGCATCGCCAGGTTGGTAAGCATGTTCCAAGATGGAGGCAACCATATCGCGGTTTCACACTTTTTTGTAAAGACTGCCTGGAGTTAAAATTTGGCTGATGGCAGGTATTGATCAAGACAATCCTGAGGGTGAGATTGATCATATGTTACAGCCGAGAGAATCGCCATCTTGTAGGACAGTTCAAGATTATAAGACATTACGCGCCTTTCATTATCCTCGTTGTAAGCATTTCTTCCACAATCGCCTTTGATGAGGATAAGATAAGAGAAAATAAAGGCAAAAGCAAGTCCAATATGACTATTGACACGAATATTTAAATCATGCATTTTTGTCCATGAATCTCGTTCCCTCTTATGCCGATTTAGTCCTCGCTATGGTCTTTGGCTAGTAACTCTTGGAATGTCTTGAATTTTATTGTACCTGCGTACACCGACTCCTACGATTCTGTGACCAACCGCGTTTTGCTGTATTTTTCCTTTTATATTCTACTGAAAGGTGTTAATGGTAGTATTAAAGTACTGAGATCAACATAACGCTGTTTTTATAAGTTTTTAACAGTGTTGTCAATCTTATTCAGCACTTCATTTGGAAAGTAATAAATATATCATCGTAACTTGAAAAACGAAACAGAAGAAAAAGAATAAGATGAAGAAAGATGGAGAAAGATACATGACTGCGTTCCTCTTTCTTTCTTTAATTTCGGTTTCGTCGAGCGGACTCTGCTTGATTTTCTGATTCGAATTCATGGTCATCCGATCCACGGCTACTGCTATAAATAGATCTCACTCTCAGATCGATCTTCCTTCAATGCAAAGATTTTTAAGTTCATTCCAACTACGAGTTTTAATTTTACAGTTGCATCAGGGTTTCAAGGGTCACAAGTTTGTCAGTCCGTGGATATCAAAGGCCATTTTTTAAAGAACTAATTGTTGAAACAAAATCCCCTTGAGCCCCGCCGCACTTCTTTGAAGTTCTTAGACACGAAATTGCAGGTCATCAGTAAATCACGAGTTACTCTTGATCAACTCCAAGTTGTGTACCAATGCCAAACTCCTGCTTATTGGTGCCATCGTTTTTTACTTTCAGTCTCCGATACTTCTGTGCCGTAAAATTATGTGCAGTCTTAACTAACATATTCAGTAACTGTTTATTCGTGATGCTTTTCTTTAAAGAAAAAAAAAAGACAAAAAAGCGGATTACGTTATGCAAGGAGGATAGCCACGATTTAACACAGTGCCTTTCTAAGACCCCCCAAATAGCCGAATTTCCTAACATCAGTATGTGCGGTCTAAGCTTACATTGTTGAGTAATCTAGGTCTTTTATTCATGATATTGTTCTAAAAAAAAAGAAAATTAAAAAATGAATAAATAAAAAAATAAAAATAAATACAAAAACAAAACAAAAAAAAAAAACACATGAAAACGGAGAGGGAGAAAAATAAACGATATGTATGAATCAAAGAAATGAACAGGGCCAGTTATATATTTAGTGGGGATGGTTTACCGATGATATCACTATAAAAAATGGCCTAGTTTCATAGCAATTAACTTCCTCAATACACTCGATTGATGCAAACCATAAACAATAACAGCAACAGGACTTTAAGATTATAATAATTTGTTACCATTGTAAGTTTAAAGTGGCGCTTGTGCAGATGCATTCGAAGAAGCTTTCTATGCTCATGTTTACTCAGAAGTCTTTTTGAAGAACGTGGCCATATATACTGCCAACATAGCCATTGTTTTATATGGTCATCGAAAAAAAACACTCAGATAAGCCTTACAGCAGGTTAAAGCTGATCTTGGTAAATCCTGATTAAACCACATTGGAAAACATAGGTAGTTATAAAGTGCGTGGGCTGTTTTGAAGTGGTCCGTCATAAGCGCCATTATATAAAGCTGTCAAGTAACCACCTCTGCGACAACAACAGAACATTAAACCAAAGTGGAGTGGTTAATAATAAGGGCTGGTTTTCACTAGCGACGGAGTCGGATAAGAGTCATAATCAGAAGCGTAGAACTTTTAACGATCTAGTGAAAACAGCGTTCTGATTCCGCTTAGAACTCCATCGCTTACGATCAAGTGAAAACTAGGTTGTCGGAGTCGCAAGCAGAAGCAGAAGAACTAAACAAATCACAAAGCTTGAGAACTTGCATTGTGATTAGTTTATCCTACCGCTTCTTCTTCCGACTCCGACAATCATACAGTTACCCTGGGTACCAGATGGGGAGCTTCGTCGGCCACAGGCCGACACGTCTTCGGCTTTCGGCCGAAGACACGAGCAGTAAAGCCGCGATAATTAAAAAAAAACCGCTTTTCGCGCGGGTCACTTTTCAAAAATTGACCGAAGCCAGAAACTGAGCATGAAAGCCTGCATGAAAAGCCTGACTCCGGAAATCCAAGACTTCCTCTCGCACTGAAGCCTCTCTGTCAGTGCTACTTCCAGTTTCTCTATGCAGCGTTCAGATTACAGGAAGTTTAGGAGTAAAGAGATGTGACCTTTTTTGAGCTTCATCTTCATTAGTGTCCAAAGACTGGCATTAACGACGCTATCGGTTCTTACTCTTTTCCATTCCCTTGTTAACCCTTACTCGAGGAACAGCAAAGACATGACATCTCAAGGGTCCGGAAAGAAACAGACGCACGAGGACAGAAAACTAGACAGACTACTTTCCACGTCGAGTTTGCTTTTGTCCATTCTTTGTTGTATCGCAATATTTCACATGGAACTCAGAATACAAGAACATCGTCGACTGATATCACATTCCAGCACTGGAACATTCCGAGACGAAATGGTTACAGAAATCCTTCGAAAAGTTCAACAGGAGTGTAGAAGTTGGCGAGAAACCAAAGACAGCCATTTAAAAGGTGATTGGCAGACAACAACGTTCTGTCACGTGTTATGTTCTTTACATTTGTTTGCCATGCGGTATAGATTCTCTTCAGTAAGTGGGGCTATATCTGAACAGTTTAACTTCTTTTCTAATTGCATTAGCGATCCTGAAAGGTAGAAGAAATATCTCAGCACTGTTTGCGCGTCGGAGGCTTGATCATGACGGTTTATGATTACAATTTTTTTCACTGGCATTCCCACCCTGTAGGCAAAAAGTATATTCTGTGAAAAAAAAAAATTGTAAATTGTAAATTGCAAATTGCTTGTTTACCCACGAAGCGCATAGGAGTTCACATAAACTCGTTTAAACCTGTCCGTGCGTTCCATATCGAACAAACAATGCTTCTAAAAAATTCTGTGTTGATAACCCTTGATAACCAAACTCGACCAATATATCCGTTAGTTGACCTGTCATCCTCTACAATTATTATTCTCGTGACAATTATTAAATACGCTCTTTTATATTGTACTTGGCCAAAACTATTCGTTTTTCCTCTGATAATATCAATTGCGTAGGTACCTGGTTCGTATTTACCCTTAGATAGCTTCAATGTTTAAATAGTTTAATTGGCTTTTTAAACTTATCTTCAAGGCAGAGAGATGCAGTTTCAAGACAAAGGCGGGCATCAGGGAGCGGCGCACAAAATAATTCGACTCAAGGAGCGGCTGAAGTAAAACGTCTTATTAAAGAAGAACTTCGTCTGCAACAAAATCAAATTTGTGCTAAAGATGAAACGCTCTGCCGCCCTGGACCAAAAGGTAGCAGAGGACGACGGGGAAGACCTGGAACCCGAGGGAGACCAGGTCCCCCAGGGAAACCCGGTCCAAGGGGTGCTCCTGGTAAACATGGACCAGTAGGACCCCAAGGACCAATGGGCATAAAAGGAGATCTCGGAGTTCCGGGTGTTCCTGGTCCCACGGGACCTAGAGGCCCGCCAGGTGAGAAAGGCGAAAGAGGTGAGCCGGGCCAGTCCATCTCGGCTCCATCTCTGCTGCAGCGTCCTGTTGAAACCACAGTCAATGAAAGTCAGACAGCCATCTTAAAATGCACAACGGACGGTAATCCAGCTCCACTTGTCACGTGGTCTAAGGTGAATTCATCGCTTCCTGAGGGACGTCACGTGGTAGAGTCAAGTGGTGCTCTGATTTTAAAGAACGTTATACCTGGCGACGAGGGCTTGTACAACTGTCGAGCTCAGAATTTGCTGGGACGCGTCAACCATTCAGCAAAACTGATTGTTCAGTGTGAGCAGCTTAATCTGATTTGTCATTATTATCTGTTTGCGAGCACGTGATAAGGCAGTCAGTTGACGAAGCAAAACCATTTTTTTTTCGCAGAATTTGCATGAAAAAAGAGTTTAGTTCCAAGCGCAGGAAAACACTTTTGAGTTTCCTTATTGTCAACCAACATGGTCGCCGTGACGTGAGCTTCAAACCAGCAATTTTAAACATCTAGGCTTTTCCTTAGGTAGAAATTCTATCAATCTTCAGTGGGTATCGGGTAATTCAAATTTGTTTAAAGGTACAAAAATGTTTCATTTAGCTGGAGTGTTCAAGAGCTGAATATCTAGAATTTGTGTAGTATTTACCAGTGGCCTGGGTTTTGAGTCGGAATGTAGTCTGTCAAAATCCAATTTTAGTTTTATCGTGCTCGAACAGCACCCAGCAATGAGGTATAGGAGTTATGTTTTCTTCAAAATTTCAAGTACACCAAAGCTTTGATTTTAAGAATTGATGATTTTTCCTCGGAAAAGCTTTCTTTTTTTTTCACGATTACTTTTCGTTTGTCTTTTCCGAACAATTTAGGTTTGTGGGAAACTGCCCACTACCACTCCCCTAACTCATCATTTTGCCCAAAGTAAGAATGGTTATTAAGTGTTAATGTTAGCTTAGGGGAGGGGTAGGTGGACAGTTTCCCAGAAACGTTAATTGATCCCTTTTTTTCTTTATTTTTATCCAGTTCATCCTCAATTACGTTTGTCATCTAGCCGACTAATGGCGGAAGAGGGGCAAAATGTGACAATCGTCTGCAATGCTTCTGGTCAACCACAACCCAAGGTCACGTGGTCAAAGGCCGTTAGGAGTTTGACGAAAGACAGAACCTCCGTGGTAAAAGGAGCTTTGACAATCTGCAAAGTGACGAAGAGCGACGGTGGAACATATGTGTGCAGAGCACAAAATATTCTGAGGTCGGTATCCGTCGCTGCTCAACTAATGATATTCTCCCCTTTGCGCTTTAGAATCCGTCCTCCTCAAGTGGTGACTCCCTTGTTTGGTTCAACTTTACGATTACCGTGTGAAGCAGAGAGTGACCTGAGACCGAGAATTACCTGGACAAGGGATGGCAACTCTTCACTTCCTGTGAGCTCTTTTGTTCTACAGAAAGGGACACTTGTGATTCAAAACATTAAGAAATCGCACCAAGGATTTTACACCTGTAGAGCAACTAATGCTGTAAAAACAATGGAAGCTAAAGTCAAAATAAATTCCCCAGTTAGAGCTTCTTCCTGTTCTGAGATAAGAAAATATGTTACCAGTGTAAGCGGAAATTATCTCATTGATCCTGATGGCAAGGGAGGCCTGGCTTCATTTTCTGTTTATTGCGACATGAAAGACAAGAATGGAATCGGCGTGACAGTCATCAGTCACGACAGTGAGAGCAGGACATATGTGCCTAGTCAGAACCGTCTTCGTGATATTCACTATACAGGAGCGAGTCTGTCTCAGTTGACCAGTCTCACCAGTGTCTCCTCACACTGTGAGCAGTTTATTAAGTACGAGTGTCACGACTCGGGTTTATACCTTTACACTCCAACTTCATGGTGGGTATCACGTGATTCTGCTAGGATGACGTACTGGGGTGGAGCATCACCCGGCAGTGGCAAGTGCGCATGCGGGATGACCAACTCATGCGCAGACTCCAGGTTTGGTTGTAACTGTGATAATAATGACCATACTTGGCATGAAGACAGCGGTTTGCTCACTGACAAGACAACTCTTCCAGTAATACAGCTCTATTTCGGTGATCTTGGTGGGTCAACAGAAAAAGGCTATCACACAGTGGGAAAATTGAAGTGCTATGGCATAGCATGAACACTTGTTAACCTTAATTTTTTCACAAAATGATTTGAATAGGAATTCACTTGACGTCAGGTATCTACGACATATTGGTGGAAAAATATTATTTTAAGAGTTCTCAAATTTGTAACAGTAATTTGAAATTTCGTTATTGCGACTGTACAGGGATATAGCTGAACTCAAATTACAATGAACTAGTGATTACAGGACTTCCAGTTAGTCCTTTATCCCATAACTATTAACTGACCCAATAAAAGGGTCTGTAATTGGCGAAATAGGTATGTCAGTTCGTCGTTTCTAAAATAATGTTTCACGGCCCCGCATCTGCATCGCAGTATTATAGTTACAATTTAACACCTCTGGTCATAGACTAACTTATCAATACGGCGGATCGATTATATGATTCAAGACCGAATAGACCTTTCCATACATTCATTGGTGTTTTATTTTAATGTCAATTGATATTCCAGCCTTTTTGAAAGCATTTGCAAATTTCAATAGCCTGAATCCTAACCCCGAGATTAGGCCTAGAGGTCAATTAACCTAAAGAAACCAGAATAATCAAATGAGATTGAATAGGTCTGTCTGTCAGAATCCGGTCAGTCTTTTACTTCTTTTCACCATTATTCATTGCGAATTGTCACAGAAAAATAGAAAAAAAATAATAGCGATTTAATTTAATAGAAAATGTTTAGTGAGGGTTGACTATAATCTGTTACAATGTCTTACAAGAGAGGCTCAGAGAAATGAGATCACTTCGAAAAAATTAAGATGGTCTTTAACTACTACGTTGTCTGTGACAGACGACCGCGCGTGTAACGTGGTCGTCGTTCTTTCCTCAGCGCCACATAAATGTACAAACGGCGGGCGAAACATTCAAATTAAAAACGCGAATTAACGTGCTTGCGATCTACTGAGACTACAAAGAAAAATAAGAGACAGCTCGCAGTCTACTGTGAGAGAGTCGAAATGCAGGATTTGACTTAGCCATCCACAGAGCTTAGCCTTCGAGCACAGCAGGACGCCTTTCTCGGCTTTCCAGCCAGCCGAAGGTTGGGGGAAAGGGGCACGAAAGAAAGTTTTATACAGGGGGGCTTGGCCCGGAGGTCCAACCCCTTAGTCTTTTATTTGCCATTGTTGACAGAAAAGGTACCCTTTGGTATACTTTCTATTGATAAATGGTACCCCTTTCACATACCTTAAGTTTAGAAGTCCAATCTTTTAAATTCACTGTATTTAATAAAATACAGTCGAACCCCGCCTTACGGCCACCTCCGTAATACGGTCACCTCGTTATTACGGCCACTGTTTGTCGGCCTGGCAAAACGGCCATACATTTACTTATAAAAAACCCCCGTTAATGCGGTCACCCGTTAATACGGCCAACGGCCTCATTTTAAAATCGGAAACAGTATAGAATCTCTTATAATTTTTAAAATGCGGCCACTTGTTCGAAATTTAGAAAATTAAAATGCCAGTGACATGTCAATTTTATTGACCTTGTACTCTGAGCCTGTTCTTGTAATGTTTTGAGACTACAATATACATAAAGTGCATTTGTTAGGATTTTATAGCTAAATTTTAAAAGTGTTTTATTAACTGAGGAAAATTTTAAGTAGCTTTTTTAATTACTATACCCGATACCTTAATTCCGTATGTTTATTAATGACAACAGTTGTTAGAGAGATTTTCGTATGAACGTGACATGAAAACGCGCGAACAAAAAAGAAACAGCAAACGAACGTAAATAGAGCGATTTGATTGGTTTATCGAACGGATGCAAACGCGCGTGGTTTTTGATTGGTTAAGCGAACGCTCGGGTGAAAAAACTTCATGTCCGAGAACTTTCTAGAAACCAACCAATACTTTGCTTTAACGTCATACTACAACACGATTGGCTAATCGAACAATGCCTTCTCTATATTAGGGTTTTCTTTGGCGGGAAAACGAAGACGCCATGTTTTGTTCTTTTCACCTATTGGCTGATAAAACAAATAACGAACACTTACCGAAACCATTTTTCGAATGCGAATGCGATGTACGATGTTCGTTCTGTCATTACGGCCCTCAAGTCATAAAATTATTAAGACTGGTTTCTTTGACGTGACGCATGCATCAACAGGCTTGTAAGGATGTTCTAAGATGGAGGCAACCATACCCGACTTCGGACTACTTTAGAAAAGAATTTTAAAGTGTCTGGAAAATATTTTAAAGCTGAAGCTTTCGGTTGAGTAACTTATTCTTGTGATAACTTTTGGTGGCAAAAAGAAAAAAATAAGTCTCTGATAAGTATTATTTCGGAATGCAGATCTGGTTTTAATAACAGTGAGCTAAAAAGCATGCCAAGTTCGATTCTCTCTTTTCCTTAGAAGGAAACTGGTTGAGCAAATGCAAAACAGAGCTCGGATGTGCAAAATTTAAGAAGATTACGAAGGATTGCAATAGGGATTTTTGAAGCCTAACGATAGTTTCTCCCAGAACCTCTCAGCTTATGTAACGAATACGTCTTCAAAGACAACGTGACCACACGAAACTAACGGTAATAGGGGACGAGAACGACCCAACGTCTTTTCAAAAATTTAGATCTATTTTGTTTTAAATATAACGCTCAGAAAACCTAGGTTTTTTTTGTCGCAAAGATCTAGTAGTCGTAATAATTTTGTTGCTGTTTACAAGTTATGAGATATTTCTTCAACATGTTAAATTCCTTAGTTAAAATACGAGTGCGATTGGCAGTGCTAAACAAAAGTGCTTTGACTTTCACGACACAGTTCAACCTCGTTCTTAGGGCTTGCTCCCTTAGAAAATGGGAAAAAGCCCTGGAAACGAGGTTGATCGACACAGCTTTTTTAAAGTACTAAATATCGGGTGTACAACTTTCTTTTCGAAATTCGAACGCCTTTTCTTGTAGGCTGGAACATTCTTTACAGAAGGTTCCAAATGTAATGTTAAAGTAATTTTTATGTCGCTTAATGGATTCTGGTAAATCTAAGAAAGGCTGTTTGCTGCGGCTGCATGATTTGTCCTCGTCGTGTGGTGTTCCATAACATTCCCTGTGTGCAGAATCCACACTGATGGCCTTTTCGCTGTAAAACACCTCAACACCGTGGTGATAAGGACCGGATTTTATAGTCGGTAGGATCCAGGGAGGCAGATGAGGCACTATGTCGTCAAAATTTACAACCCTCCAACTGTTGTTGACTAACTGATCGTGTTGCAGAGCGTATTTGCAGTCGCCAACTCGTGGGCTCCCAAACGTGTATAAGATGACGTTTTGACGCGCGTCGATGTTGTAACAAGCAAGCCAAGCACTCGCCAAGGATGCTAAGGCAGCACCAAGAGAATGTCCTGTAACCCAGATCTGATACGAGGGATTCTTTGAAATTAGAGCTTTCACTTTCGGCTCCATGCACTGCCATAAATCTTCAAAGGCCGTCTTGAAATAGGCCTGAACCTTGCCATTGAGAAAATCTTGCGATGGGGTAGTGACGGACTCTAGCAATTCATCAATAAGTTGTCGCGTACATTCAGTTCCTCGAAAGGCGACCACCAACACTCGCAAAGCATGCGAAACCGCGATATATCCAGAGCACTTCCTGTCGACGAAATCACAGTTTTTTGTAACCACTGTTTGGAGTTGAAATTTGGCTGATGGCAGGTATTGATCAAGACAATGCTGAGGGTGAGATTGATCATATGTTACCGCCGAGAGAATCGCCATCTTGTACGACAATTCAGGATTATAAGACATTACGCGCCTTTCATTATCATCGTCGTAACCATTTCTTCCACAATCGCCTTTGATGAGGATAAGATAAGAGAAAATAAAGACAAAAGCAAGTCCGATATGACTATTGACACGAATATTAAAATCGTGCATTTTGTCGATGAATCTTGTTCTGTCTGATGCCGATTTAGTCCTCGCTATGATCTTAGGCTAGTAACGTTTGGAACGTCTTGAATTTTATTGTACCTGCGTAGAGCAACGCCAACCATTCTGTGACCAACTGTTTTGCTGTATCGGCTTTCCTTTTATATTCTACTGAAAGCTGTTACGGGTAGTATTAAAGTACTATGAGATCAACATAACGCTATTTTTATACGTTTTGACACTGTTGTCAATCATATTCAGCACTTCAGTTGACTGGTTCTTTGTATAGTAGAAAGTAATAAATATATCATCGTAACTTAAAAAACAAAACATACGAAAAAGAATAAGATGAAGAAAGATGGAGAAAGATACATGACTGCGTTCCTCTTTCTTTCTTTAATTTCGGTTTCGTCGAGCGGACTCTACTTGGTTTTCTGATTCGAATTCATGGTCATCTGGTCCACTGCTTCTACTATAGATGGCTTTCACAGTGACGTCATCAAATTGTAAAGTCAAAATAGGGAGATTTTACGAATTCTTATTTACCATGTTTACACTAGGTTGAAGATAAACAAAAAGTAAATCTTTGTAAAAGTTTTCATTCCCGTAGCATGTTTCATTTCGAAAATACAGCAATTTGAACTTCCGAGTTTTCACAGTGCGTGACACCAAAATAGGAATGCTGTCTCGTTGAAAGAAAATATCTCCTCTTGATTTGCAGCAGTATAACTATTCCAAGTATTAGAAGATATTTTTATGCGCACGTATGCTAGTTCTCGAGTGAAAAGAAGGAGCTTTTATAGAAAAAGTGTACTCCAGATGTTTTTGTTGATTTTCGGCGGCCATATTGGTGCACCAAAACTGTGCACCAATATGGCGTCTCCATACAAAGCTCTACAAAGGTGCGTGAAACGTTTCGGTAAATAACTCAGAAACTGTAGCCACAAAGCTGAGACTTGGAAAAATTGTTTAAAAATTAGTCTTTAATAGCATTTCATTTTTTTGGCTTCTTCCACTGGACGCCCGTTTCCAATTTACCTTTTTGTTGCGTGGCAGTGAAAACGATCTATAAATATATCTCACTAATCGATCTTCCTACAAAGATGTAAGTTGTCCAACTAAGATCTTTAATTTTACAGTTGCA